GCCCCCTCCTCACCTGCCAGGCGCCCCAGGCCCCCGTTGCCCAGCCCGGCGTCCTCCTCCTCCTCCTGCAGCTCCTCCATGTCCAGGCCCAGCTGGGCGGGGGGGGCAGGGATCAGGGGGCAGTGACCCCCAGGCCCCTCCCCCACTTGAGCCCTCCCCCAATATCCCCCATAAGCCTCCCACCCCCAATGCCCCCCTGACACCCCACTCTGCCTCCAATACCCTCCTAATACCCCCTCTGCCCCAACACCCATGTAATACCCCGCCCTGCTCAATACCCGCCAAGCTCTGCCCTAATCCCCCCAGCCCCTCCCCTAAATACCCTCATGCCCCTCCCCTCCATTTCCTGCCCTGGGGGTGCACATGCACACATGCTCTCACACACACACACAGGGGCACATTCCCATGCGTGCCCATGTATGCCCATGTGTGCACACACGTATACACACACACACACACGCACGCGCACACATGTGCTCCCATGCCTGCTCGCACACGCGTGTGCGGGGCGGTACCTGGTAGGTGGCCTCGTCGCAGGCGTTCTGCAGGCCCAGGTTGACCATGGTGTTCTGCAGCGTGCGGCCCATGTAGAACTCCAGCGACAGGTAGTAGATGCGCTGGGGGGCGGGCAAGGGGGGGGTCACCGAGGCACATCCCCCCCACCCCCCAGGGCACCCTGCAGGGGGCGGGCACGATGGGTCCAGGCACACACACGTGCACCAGTGCGTACACACTTAGGTGCACCCCCCAGTGGTGCACGCACGCATGAGCTGACGCCTGTGTGCACCTACTTGCACGTGCGCATGCATATACACACGCACGGGTGCTGGTGTCCATGTGTCCACACTCATGAGCACATACTTGCACATATGTGCATGAGTGCACGCACATGAGTGTGTCCCAAGTATACACCTGTGTGTGTGCTTGCACATATGTATCTAAGTGCGCGCACACAGTTGCACAGGAGTGCACACACACAGGCACACATACCTGTACACACTGGTGCTTGCACAGGCATGTGCACACACCTGCAGGGGAGTGCGTGCACACACACCTGTGCACATATGCAGGGGAGGGCACGCTCTGGCACACATGAGGGTGCACTCAAGTGTGCACAGACACACACACACCAGTGCGCACACACTTGTGCACCT